AGAGTTAATTAAATATACGGTTTTATTGAATTTAAGTTAAAAAAAAACAGGTATTAAATTATAAATAATGTTAATTCAATAATTGTCTATTTTCAAATTGCAATATTTACTTTTGGTATATTGCTTTAAAATCATTACGATATTACATTTTTAGGGGAAAATTTAAATATTCATTATTTTTTATTTATTACAAGAAAAACCAGTGGTAAGGTATGCCACAAGTACAATTGTCTAATAAAAATTAAATAATAAGTTATTTAATCTTAATAAAAGAATTTTCGTAATGCCTTGATTTAAAGTTAAAATTTTAATTAACAATTATTACTTACAATTATTATGTGAATTCGAATTAAAATAAATTACCATTCCTTGGCTCCATATAGAGAGCGAGTAGGAATGACAACCAATAATAAGCGGCATTATTGATGTTGCTATTTGTTGGCTCTATAAAGAGGGCGAGTAGGAATCGTAACAAACACAAAGGGACATTATTGACGGTTGCTATTCTTTGGTTCCATAGAGAGAGCAAATAGGAATAGTAAAAAACAATAAGCGGCATTATTGAAAGTTGATATTCTTTGACTCGATATAGAGAGCTACGAATAATGCCATCCGAAACTATAGTTGTGCTTGAGAATGACAGCAAGTCCCCCAGATCTTTGTGTTCTAGTTATCTTTTTCTTTTAGCTAACGGCTGATTTATGTTGATAGCCAAAAAAAAAAAAAAAAGTTGATAGGTATCTCGTATTTGTTCCCTAACGTGTCATGAGAGTAAACGTACTTATTAGAGTGAATTGGTGTGGGAGGAACCATGGTGGAATATTTACTACCCCACCCAATTAGATTAGGTATAGTATGTGCAAAAGGCTAGGTATATCGAATATTCCACCACCCTCCTTGAGTAAAAGTTATGTAAATAGGGAATAATTTAAGAATGAATCAGAGTGTGCAAAAACAGCACGCGTTGTAGGCTAGAATGACCTAGCTGTAGACAGTCCCTTGAGCCTAACTTCAGCAGGAGGGTCGGATAGACCGAGATCTGACCCCTAACTGCCAAACCCGAAGCCATAACTCATATCTGTAAATGTACGCATATACTTTAAGTACAGAATTGTGCTTTTACAAATCACTAAAATTCCCTTGCCATTGGATGACCTTTGGTGGCTCTACAATTCCCTAACATTAATGCGAATAGTACAGTCTCTCTCTCTCTCTCTCTCTCTCACTCTCTCTCTCTCTCTCTCTCTCTCTCTCTCTCTCTCTCTCTCTCTCTCTCTCTCTCTCTCCCCCCATTTCTCATCTCTCTCCTGTTTTTTGCGTGATCGATAAAGAACATTTTATCAGTTTTTTTCACGAAATCCTATAAAAATTTAATCGTTTTCGCAGGTTGGCAAATGCCTTTTCCGGGCATTAAGAATTTTAAAAAAATTAAAAGGAAGAATTTTTTAGGAAAATAACACTTCATTTATAGTTTTTGTTCTATTTGTTTCTATACTAAGGGAAGGTGAGTGGTAGAAAGGAAAAAGGGGTTAGGATTTAAATAAAAAGAATGAACGTCTCGGATTGTAAGTGACCGGTGGTCCGTGGCCGGGGGCGGGTTTCGCCGTCGGGTGGGCGAATATATGCAGGTCCCGGGCCCGGGGGTGAGAAATAGTTGTCGGATTCCTCGGGGGTTGTTTTGTCGGGGTGTTATTGAGTGATAGACGCCGGCGGGCGGGTGGGGGCGATAAGATGGTGGTTGTTGAGCAGTGATTGGTTGAGGACGCCGTCGCCATGGCAACATGCAGATCCCACCCCCTTCTTCACCGGGAGCTTTACGTCTACCGACGGAGGAAAGCTCAGTCCCACAACAGGTACTATTCTACAATTAACCTCCAACAAATCTGTGCTATTTAACAATATTGATCAAATAAGTATAAATATGCCAAACATAAAGTATTGACGTATGCCATGTTTCACTTGAACTCAGATTTAATTAGTCATCAGGCATAATTATGATAAAACATGTGAGTCAAATTTGAAAGAAAACAGTCAGTTTTAAGGAGGTTCTTGAGCCATGAAAACATCCATTCCAATCAATTCAAATTGTTTAAGCAAAAACAGAGGATAATTTTTTTGCATTTCACAAATATATGGTAAAAATGTGGTTGTTTAATTAAGTTTTCCATAGGTTTATCCTTTGATATTGAAAAATCCTTAATAGAAACGTAGCATAAATATGCCACTGCTCGGTTTGAAAACCTTGACAGGAACTGTAATTTACATTCTTTCCATAAATTATGTAAAACCAAAAAATCGAACAGAGAAATCACAAGCCCCTGTTAGGTTTGGTCATTTATAAATAGTCCGAGGAAAGTAAGATTTAAAGTGCCATTGATTATTTAGGATTTGTCTCACCTTGAGACACGACCTGCTGGCTTAAAAGAACCTTGGTCAGATTCTGTAAAGCCGCATTAATTTTTTACTGCGAATTAAATGGACATTGGAATATCCTGTGTTTTGTTATAGCCGATATCTTGTTTGACTATTTGTAGGTATAACAGGAAATTAAATACAGGTTTTTCTCCGGCGCAACTTGGATAAACAATGCGCTTCTTGCTTTTATAGACTCTGGTGCAATTTCCTAATTAAATCAAACGTTTTGGTAAGCGTTGGCAAACACTCACAATAAGTTAAATGAATATATGAAAAATAAATTCCACTCAGGATAAAGTTACGTGGGTAAAGCGTAAGGGTTTAATTTGGATGTTGTCGAACTTTTTCGTCTGCCTATGCTCGCTGGGCTGGTCTGGTAAATGGCTTCGGCATTTACCATCGTGTATGTCAGTCTGATTTTTTTAATGAATTAGTTAGTCGAGTAATCACTACCAGCGCGGAATGAGAATGACTTTTTTCTCAGGGGTCATATAACTGATTACAAATTATGTATGATCAAATATGCCCATGCACAAGTACACATATCCCCACGCATAAAGAGTTGAGTCTATCACTTCTCGAAGTCCACGGGCAATTTCAACTTTTGTCATTTACAATAAATTACCGGCAAGCCTCGAGAATCACTCACCTCCAGTGTTGGCAGTTCGGAGTCACATTTCTAGGTCGTTTTAGCCCCAAACCTAATCGGTCTCCCAATTACATTGTCATTCACTCTTGTAAACATTCTCACCTATTTACGTACCATTCACTGAGTTAGGATAATAGAGTACTATCCCAGTACATTCCTTCACACCTATTATAACTAACCTAATTAAGGGTCGATGGGGCATATGATATTCTACTTTTGGCACAACACATTCACTACAAATTCACGTCAATAAATACATTCACTCTCTGCACACGCTGGCTAGGGACAAAATACTGTCAGTAACTTATGCAAAAAACAACCCTTTCTCCCTGCTCAAGTACAATTGTCATGTCGGTTGGCATTCCTACCATTTTAGACGTTATCAGCAAACGAATTTCAGCATGCTACAGAAGTTTTCAAGCCAGTAGAACTGAGAAATTTGATTTACATGGTGGATGGAAAAAATAAAACTCAAGGGTTCCGTGGCATAAATATTTTTATATTGTGTACTTTTCGGGCTCATTGGCCCAGCCTCGCACCCCAATGTGTTATTCCACAATCTTAGTCTCAATTCAATTTGATATACACTATGAAAATGGCTAGAAGTACTCTCCTAGTAGCTTGACCATTTAAGCAAGTTGGACATTGTTTTTCCTACGGTACTTTCGAAAAATGCGCCACCCTGTAATTAGGAACAACGAAATTTTTTAAACTTTTATTTCTGGCTACTCTACTATTACTGAAGAGGAAGCCCATAAGACCTCGAAAATGCATTTAATTGAATATATGAGCCGGTTGAAATTATTGTAAAACCCTATTCACAGCATGACCGCACAATAAATATAGAAATGAAAATATATAAATGTTTAAATGTGTAAATATTTAATTGTTAGGGATTGATGATGTTTTCTACAGTGTCTTTACTAAGACGTCCCACGAATTAAACCTACCCCCATTACTAAAATTGAAGCTATGGGAATCCATCAATCCTTTTTTAGATGGATCGATCAACAGCTATCTGAGTAACCGAGCTGAGCTAGTAAAATTGTGTTTTTTTTTTGTTTTTTTTATTGAGTCCTTGTTAATGTTAATGGTTAGTTTTTGGAACGTCGAAGTGTTCTACAAATAAAAAATGATTCCAGCTTAGATGGGCTATAAAAAATAAATTTCTCATTGAGATGGTAATATGCTGATCCACTGCCGGCTCATTATAAATTCACCGACTCAGACCAACAACCAACATCAGAGATAATACAAGTTGTTATTATATAATCTTAACTTACTCGTATTATATCCAGCGATCCTCAGAGGGGCGTTTTTGTTGCCTGTGCTATTTAATCCATTTATAACTGATAAAGTAGATTATTTTGATCTATGCCAGTTATACCTACGATATAATATGTATATATTATATGCAAGTTACAGTAGTTGGTTCATATTTAGCTGAATTGACAAAAGAACGCATACATTAATGTTACCAAAGAAAGTTGACAATATTAAGACGACACGTTAACAATTCAGTTTGTAATCTAAATGCTCTTAAAAAAGAAGTAAACATACCTACTCAACTATTTGCTAGTGAGTTTACCAAATATACCTATTAAATTTATAATTTAACATCGTTCCTGCTTCTCAGTCAATGATGTAAATATTGAGTTTTTTAATTGTTTTGTCAAATCTTTATCTTTTTTCTGGATTGATTTATATTTTTGGAGATTATGAAAGAAAATTCAAGGGGTGACAAGGAGAATCGAACCCAAGGCCGCGAGGACTACAAGCCGAGTGTCGGACAGACTAACTGACTACTGAGGTCCTTTTAATTATTTAACTTGTTGTAATTATTGTATTTTAAATATTTTATATTAGCCATATGTATTAACAAAGTTTATTATTATGTTGTATATATTATTAAACTTTTTTTTCCTTTTTGTTGCAGGAGAGAAACCTCACAAATGTCAGGTCTGCGGGAAGGCGTTCTCTCAGTCGTCGAACCTCATAACGCACAGCAGGAAGCACACGGGCTACAAACCGTTCGCCTGCGATCTCTGTGGCAGGGCTTTTCAGCGGAAGGTGGACCTGCGGAGGCACAAGGAAACGCAGCACGCAGAACTGAGGCCCGTCACGCAAATGCCACCCCAACTGGGACCCACTTAAACGCATCTCGTCAATATGAAATTAGTTAATATTTTGTTAATTGTGATATTAATTTATAGTCAAGCATTCTTCTTTACGTTTATTAAATTAAAACTCTAAACTAAAAAACATCACTCTTTCTGGGCATACTTTTCAAAAGAAACTAGTCAAAAAGACCATAGACGTAAAGCGGATACCATGACGTGAAGACTGAATTTGATTTACGCCACGTTTGTTAATTGATTTGTGGAGAAGTTCGTCTTATGCCTGCTATTTCATCCGTGAAGTTGTTACCCGTTATGTTCGACAAGTCGTAAGTTTCGCTCGGCCTCGTCATCGGCGTCTGTTGTGTTCCCTCCTTCGGGCCCTAACTCGGCCCCTTCGTTAAAATATTCAGCAGAGGGAAAAAAACAGCCTTAAGTGGGAAGTTTCGCCTCGGCGGACGATGCGTCCGAAATGGTGGAATTACAAACAGTTACAAAAGCCAAAAAAAAAACACTTGTACATAGCTTTATGTGTATATGGATCTCTCGTTGTAAATATAATTATATAATTTTAATATTATGAAAAATCCCTTTTAAATAAGCTTAGGCTATACATGTTTAACGACAGAAGTTACCCTTCCTTGGAACAAAGCGCTATGAGTGTACAATTTTTTATCGTGTTAAACGTGATGTTTTTTAATTAAACACGAAAAGGTGTTTTTCTGGACTTCTTCAATTATTTCTAATGTGTTTTGGAATGGATCACGCCTTGCAAATTGCTCTATCCTTCATCCTTCATTTTCAACATAAAACATAGTGGCAAAATAAATATCTTCAATATTTAATTTAAACACCCGCGAATGGTTTGTAAGTAATTAAATTTTTTAAATTAATTAATTCCTTGATTTTTGCGGTTTCTTGATCAGTCTGTTTGAAATACAGAGAGATTTACCTCCGCTCAGATTTCAAGCAGAAATCTTACACTTAAAAAATTAAGTTGGCAGTTTAACTATAGATAGACTTAAAATTGTCAGTGAATTAAGTGGTATGATCCACGTTAACGTTTACAATTAAAATATTATAAATTGATCTTTTTTTAGTCTTGAGGCGTGCAAAAACTGTATTTATCAACTGTGTTTAATTTCTTTAAATTGGTTGTTTTTGTTTAAATGAGTTTGAACGTTTATAAATCGTATCAACCACCACTTAGAGGGGCTGTGGATAGACGTTGCCAATTTCCCAAACCACGTCCTCGACTCCTTGGTATTCAAGTCCTGGATGAAACCCAAGACGGCACTCCCTTGAATCCCATTACAGATTCCCTAATTATGTAACTGTAGACTCCCTTAGCAAATTGCCACGAGGTGTCCCGAGGCAAACAAGACATCGAGAAGAATGCCAAGTAACACACTGGTGCTTTGCAGAGAATGCAAAGTGACACGGGAATATTTAAAAAGAAACCTCGTTTCTCTGCGTGGGCGGACCGTTCCAAAAACAACGAAATAAAAGGAAATGTTGTTGTAACCGAGAGGAGAGATCACTTTGTTGTTTATCGAAAATTGTTCAACCTTGTTACGTGGCTAGTCATATGCACGTTGTACAAAATTACCGTTAACAGTAAAATTAATTGTTCGAGAAATTTCTAGGATAAGGCTATGTCCGCAATTCTGAATGGTTGTACATTTGTTTATGCATTGAATATTATAATGTATAGAATAAACCACAACTTTATTTCTTAATAAAATTAATTAAAAAGTAGCACCGTATTTCTTTAATGTTTTCACAATTTCCTAAATAACACATAAAAATAATTTATTTTTATATGTTATTAATGGAATATTATTCCGTGATGGAATTCTTATTCCTATGCCATATATTATGTGTTTTGCATAATTTATTTACAGCCTGTACATATTAAAACACATGTAACATATAAGATTAAGAGAAACCACTCAATGTGTGGTATTAAGATGCTAGAAACTAGCGAGGCCACCATCATTTAAGGTTTATGGTTAGGTCTGGAAATAGAAAGTAGGATAAGTATGGATCGAGAAACATGTATGGAACGTTCATCAGGTCATCGATAAAAGAAATACAGTAAGGAACTTTGACAATCTTTTTTAGGACTTTAACCGTCTGAGTACGTAAGGATTGGATACACTGAGTATAGACAGATAGATAGAAGTCAGGTTGGAAGCCAGTTATGAAGTGCCATGCAGATTTGAATAACCGCAGTAGTAATAAAATGTAGAGATCGGGGTTTATACAATAGAAAAGTCATTATTCGTACCCAATTCAGTAATTGGCCCGCTTGACCAATTAATACATTACAATTACTTAAGGTTTTTAGTTGAGATAAAAAAGTCAATGGCACGAGCGGGATTCGTACCCACGATCTTCGGCTAGATACGCCGCTGCTCTTCCACTTGAGCTATCGTGACCTCGATCCACTAATTTCCCATCTCAACCCCACCTTTTGAATTTTCCCTCCTTTTTGCCATTTTTTATCTCAACTAAAAACCTTAATAAATTGGTCAAGCAGGCCACGAAATTAGTGAATTTAATGAATTGAAATGAAGTATAGTTCACTAAAGCTCTCCGTGGCCATTTCATTTGTCGCCGAGAATCCAATCCGATTACACGACATTTGAAAAATGGCAAAAAGGAGGGAAAATTCAAAAGGTGGGGTTGAGATGGGAAATTAGTGTCCGAGTGGATCGAGGTCACGATAGCTCAAGTGGTAGAGCAGCGGCGTATCTAGCCGAAGGTCTTGGGTTCGAATCCCGCTCGTGCCATTGACTTTTTTATCTCAACTAAAAACCTTAATTAATTTGTACACAAGGTAGGTCCAAAAATGCTCCCTATTGGGACGCCAGTTCTATTAGTCTAATATCTGAGTAGAACAATTGAACATCTCACTCTAAAGCAGCAGGCATTTAAATAAGATTCAAAGATAAGTCAATAAGATAATATAATATATAATTATCAATTCCTCGATTTGGTTTAATTACTCTTATCTGTGAAAGTGATACATATTTGTATGGATGCTTCAATTGTCATCAACTGATGAAGAAAAGAACGAATCTACGAAATCAATGGAAGTATTAGTACTTAAAGCGTGCTTACGTCCCTATTTTATTCCACGTAGGTATGGAGAAGTCTCCGTTAGCCACAAACACAAATTTATCCTACAAATGTCAAAAAAGAAATTTGTTTTGAAATAATTTTGGCAATAAGATACGTTTAGAAATAAGAAATGAAACGAAAACATTAATAACATAAAAAAATGTTTTCTTATAATTAATTTCAAAAGTTATATAATGCTTCATATAATTTATCTTGCATACACATATTCCTCAAAATTTTTGAATATCTTTTATGCGTAAAAAATTAAATACGAAGACAGTGCAAAACCTTTAAATCTCCATCGTAGAAGAACGCATGAGTTCACTTTGGTAACACCAACTTTGGTCTATAAATTACTTAAAACCGACCAAACATATGGCTGCACATGTACACAGATTGTAGTTGGCACTGTAGTTGATGCCACGGTGCTGGAGTAATAGTTTGCAATTGGAGCTAGCCGTTCCTGACGGGTTACACTCAACCAACTATGAAGGGGAGGTGAAGGGTTTCCTTGGCCTTGTAAGGGTAGCAGACTGATAGGAAAGCCGCCCAGGATTATCAGAAAGGACGAAACTATAGGTTCATTATTCCGCAGAACTCAAGACAAATATCATAATGTATCTTTATTTTTTGAGATTAGCACATTTGTGTGGTTTTGTGGTGAATATGGAGAATTGGGAGGTTAGGAAGGTTTTTAGGCCGGAGGCCGTCAAGCTCCCAGCGCCAACAGCCAACTAAACTCTAGGAGCTCACCTGCAAACCTATTTGTTTATACATTTTTACTTAATATTCAGAGCCCTTTTCCAGGATGTGGATAAATAATTTTGTCAACAAACATTACAATATATATGGAAAAGACCAAATTCTATCGTGGTCCACGATCGGCCCAGCTAGGCCTATAGTCTACCAGACGCGTTTTCTTTTTTCACCTTTCTCAGTGATGTATTTGTTTTCCTGCCTCACCCTACCCTAATTGACCGACAGCTGAATATCGAACTAACCGAAACGTTTATGACAGATCAAAGCAACGAGCATATGCATATTTTATTGGGTTGTCCGGAAAATAATGCAGGATTTTAAGTTTTCATTAAAAAAAATCTATATAAAATATTCTGTTTACGTTTACAGGATTACTCATTTGTATGAATGTCAACACTTATTAATCCTCTTCCAAATGATATTGTTTGTTTACCTCTGTAGCATTCCGCTACTTGGAAATAATTCAGTCATCCTTATAATGTCAAAGCGAGAATTTCGTACGATTTTCTTTTACGAGTTTAAACTCGGCCGAAGCGGAGCCCAAACGGCTAGAAACATTAACCAAGTCTGGGGCGAGGGTTGTGTTAATGAGTGCACTGTGCAAAGGTGGTTTAAAAAATTTCGGGAGGGAGATTTCAGCCTTGAAGATGAAGAAGGTCGTGGAAGGCCTTCCTCTCTTAATGATGATGTTCTGCGATCAGTGGTGGAAGAAAACCCCAAAACAACTGTTCGAGAACTTGCAGAGCAACTCAAAGTCAGTAAAACGACCGTCGCTGACCACCTCAAGGCGATTGGAAAAGTGAAAAAACTCGAAAATTGGGTTCCACACTCATTAAACGATCGCCAAAAAATCAGCGCTTTGATGTTTGTGCATCACTTCTTTGTCGAAACAAAAATGACCCATTTCTGGCCAGAATTGTTACATGTGACGAAAAGTGGATTCTCTACGATAACACTAGACGTTCTGGACAGTGGCTCGACAAAGGAGAAGCTCCAAAGCCCCCAACTCATCAAAAAAAGGTAATGGTTACGGTATGGTGGGCTTCATTTGGTTTAATACACTACAGCTTCTTAAATCCTGGCGAAACCATCAATGCTGAATCATACTGTAACCAAATTAATACCATGCATCAGAAATTGGCAGTAATGAAGCCCTCTTTGGTCAATCGGAAAGGGCCCATTTTGTTGCATGACAACGCTCGACCACATGTGTCACGTGTAACGTCACAAAAATTATTGGAGCTTGGCTATGAAACTTTG